TTCAATGAACTTTCCATTACCCATTTATATGCTCGTACGCGCTCTACAGCTTGTCACAACCTGTCCCGGCAACGCATATGAGTCCAAACAGACAAAAATACTTGCTGTGAAGTCCGTGGGGATATCATTAATGTACTATAAGCTCTTGCTTCGTGGCGGACAAAGACTGTCTTCATCCTGTTTGTTGCCATCCAGCTGGGGCGCTTGGTCTTGGTTACCTTGCATCATAATGTTACGACACAAGAATCGGTTTCAGCTGCTGTTTTGGACCTAACAGCATCAATTGCTCTCACGTTGCTCATTTGCTTAGAGCATGTCAAACCGCCTCGGCCTTCGATCCTTGCGGGCCTCTTGTTCCTTCTTACAACAGTACTTAACATGGCCAGCCTGCGCTCCAATTGGTTACAGAAGTCTTATGCTGCCGTCTTACCCTCCTTAATGGCGTCTGTGTTGGTCAAATTCCGTCACCTTTGCTTTGAAAATGTTTAGAAACATCGATGGCTACTCTCAAGTGAAACGGATGTTTATATAGTAAGATTAGGTATAATATATATATCAATATTTACCCATTTCTATAGACTATATTAATCGCTATACTAGAGTAAGCCTTATTAGAGTATCATAGTTTGGACTGTTATCTTGATACCTTTATATTGAATAAAATATAGATAATACTTATAGCCCTCCGTTCTCAGGATAAGACACTGCCAAAGGCGTTGACCCATGGAGATCATAACCTCTAAGTTCTATGTGCACCGTTCCTCGTCGGTACAGCCACCTTTTCCCTTGACTCCAGGAGCCTTATAGACCGGGTTCTCATACTTCTTCACTCGTCTAGCCACACTGTGCTTGACTGTGTAGTGTCTAAGTCCCCACTCAAGTCCTGAGAACATCAATGCCCTGCTTTCCAGCGTATGTGGTACCTTTTAACAAATACCTACCCCTCCAACCTCACCTTTTGGCGTCCTGGCCCGAGGATACTGTAACTCAGCGTTATATGAGGAGATGGGTCGGCTCGATGCCTTGTGAATCATACTCCCCGGTCACTCTAGGGTACAGGAGACTTAGCACAAGAACATTCCTGCGTCATAAATTGGCAAGAGTCAGTAGGTGATACATTGAGCCTAGACGGATCGTAATAGTCGAATTATAAGAAAAAAAAAATTCTTTCTTTCTTTCTTTTTTTTTTTTTTTTTGGCATGAATTAGGTCATTGTTTATCAAAAGCTCTGGTGGCCAGGGCTCCCGTGATGTCATTCGGGACGTTATGGCTCTTTGTCTGCTACATATACTGTGCCACCTTGTCTTCGGATTTCGTCCATGACCTCCAAGATGCGAATCGTCTCTGCCCATGGCATAATAGCACTCTCCAACCGTCCTGCAAATACATCTAACGCCGCGTTGTCGGCCTCGTACTGGTATCCCCTCTCTGCACTGCTGTAGTCAAAGGACTTTATTACTTTTCTCTCACGCTCCCGGGCTCCTGGTTGCCCTGAGTAGTTCGTGTAGATGGTAAAGCCAATGGGGTCTGAGGCTCCTGGTCCGTGCACATCGATATGTCCTTCCGTTCCCTGGATTCGAGCAAGAATGTCGGGAAAGCCGTTGGCCTGGTGAGTAGAGGTAATGACCCCTTGCCGACCAGATGAAGGATATTGTAATAGGACACTAGTTCCAACTTCAGTGCCTAGAAGATGTGTTTGAAAGGCGTGGATGCTAGGAGTTTCGGATTGCTCGGGGTTTCGATGGTCCAAAGCCATCGAAACCCAAGTTAAGGAGTAGATTCCCAGGTCCAGTAACGATCCCGCCCCAAGCTCGGGGTTTCTGTGTCTAGATGTTGGTGGGAGATTTGCAATGTCTTGGAAATCACCGAAGTCAGAGTAGGCTCGGAATACCTCACCAATTGCTTTATCTTCATGAAGAAGCTTCCTGATATGTCGGAAAACTGGCCGGTGACGAAGCCACATTGCTTCTGCAACGTATACCCCTTTTTCTTTGGCCGCTACGAATACCTCCTTCGCATCGCGAGCGTTCAGGGTAAAAGCCTTCTCACAAAACACAGCCTTGCCTGCAGCAATAGCATCCAGACAATTCCGTTTGTGAAGGCCATGCGGTGTGCCGATATACACGATGTCCACGTTTGGGTCCTGATACATTTCCTCGTATGATCCATAAATCGTAGGTTGGCATTGCGGACACACAGTGGCGGTGAAGGCCCGGCCTTTTTCTAGAGACGAACTGCCAACAGCCTGAATTACATGCTTGACAGGGGCATCGTCACGGGACAACATAAGGTCTTCCACAAACCATGTAGAGATCAAGCCGGTAGCTAGGAGTGGGGTAAGGTAAGGTTCAAGTTGTCCTGGAGAGCCGGCAACATACCTAGGATACCCCAACGAATGGATGGAATATCAGGCATGATCATAAGCTTTCAACTTGTTTCTCGTGGTGAGAATCACAATTGGCTCAAAACGTCTATCATAACGCTGCTGTTGTGAACCTAATTCTGTGCTTTTAGTTTTCCCATTTTAACTTCATTCTTGCCCAAGATGACACGTGACAATTAGAGACACGACTGAAGTGTGTAAGCACCACGAGGGCCGACGCTTGCATTTCGATTCAGCCATTTCGGACGTCTGTTACACGATAAAGCAGAAGCTCATCCGGGATCAGATGCCTCCAGCAAGTGATTCTTCATCTCTTTCGATTCAATCTCATCAGAAGATCCCCGGGATGAGCCATTTTCGAACACCTGAGTATCTACCTACACGTGTCGGCTCTTCGTATTCTAAGGAAATATCCGATGGGTGGGGCTGATTAAGGCGCAATCCAGACCTTTCTGCCCGCAGATAAGGGAAAGCGTCCGGATACTATATATTCATGTCCGATTACCTCGCAGTCTTACTGGCCGACAGCATTACCGAAGGCTGCAGCCATGTACCTTTATTCCGGCTTGAGTGCCATTGGACCCAATAAGCAGCGCAGTGTGACACCCTTAAAGGTACCGTTTGCTTCACGAAGTCCGTTCCAAAAATGGTTCCACCGTACCGGAAATTTCTCATCAAGCAAAATAAGTCCGACAACGACTAGGCTTACTTCGTAGTATTGTAATATCGTAATCTGAATCTTGGTGCTCAGCGCTACAGTACAGTGACTTAACAACCCACAGGTACTGTACATGAATTTCACCTAAGCTTGGTTTTGCGAGGGTTCGCTAGCTGTGACTCCAAATCTTTTCTCAATGCATATTACATTGGAGGATCATTCTCTCGATTAAGATGCAGGTCCTTTGTCTTGTCTGCTAGTCTCAGCTTCGGCCGTCGCCCAACTCCTTTCGACAGTTTCAATCGGAGAAGCGATGCCGGGAGTAGAGCGGAGACTGCTCAACTGAAGGCTTGAAAAGCTATTCGACGTTTAAGGTTGAGCAGAGAATTTGGGCCCGAATAGGAAGATTAGATGGCACCTTAGAGCCATTAGTATGTTAATGTAGACACATTATCTGGCAAATCCCTGGCTTGACACTACATCAGAGGTTCGCTCTACTTTGGTTTAGGTCTAGAGAGTGATATAAGACGTCGATATATGAGGTCACTAAAGCTCATATGTTGTTAAAGGGGCACCGAGCGTAGTCCAGAGATGTTATGTTCAGATCGTTATACGTCGAGAATTTAAGGCATTGAAAGCTGCTGGCTGGGATAACTTCAAAACGAATCCAATACAGCACTTCAACACTAACCAGTAGTTACTCGGACACGGCTTGGACTGGCTTCTGCTGCATATATTTTATGTCCGACCGAATATCAATCACCCGCCAGTTCGGCTGAAGCTCAACCCTTTCGCGCCGGAATACGGATATTCCGTGCCGCATAGGTATATTGGTACCTGGAAGGGCATTTGACGCACTCACTTGACCCAAAGGCTATACATATATCAAACATAACGTATTATGATGGGAACTGATCACATATGGTCACCGAGCCCACTACAAAAAACTAATCGGGGAGCCTAAATCTTACCTCCCGAATTCTGCATCTGCTGTCACAGCTCGGCGAGGGTGAACGCAACCTCGTGGACAATTCTTATCCAGCATATACTTTTCTTCCTGCCGAGTGGCCATGAGTAAAATGTCAGACGGTCAGGATTTAGTAGGGAAAGTGACGATCGTTACGGGAGCGAGTAAAGGTATCGGCCGGGCGATTACGCTCCACTAAGCGAAGCGCGGTTCAGCAGTTCTAGCGATGTCTATGGGCTCTAGTAAGGACATCGATGATCTGCTCAACGAGATCACGGTCAGTCATGCACGCTACCAGAGTCAGCCTCCGAAAATAGCCCATCAAACTGTTCCATTGCAGGATCCAGCTGCGCATACCAAAATCGCAGATGCGGTTCAGAGGGAATTCGACGGCCACGCAGACATATACATCAACAATGCAGCGATAAGCGACCGTACAATTCTGGCGATCTCCAAGCAGAAACACTGGACAGGCTACTGCTATGCAATATTCGAACTCCGGTGATGATCGTATGAGTTAGTCAAAAGGGAATACTTCAAGAAAGAAAGCCGAATCCACTTCATCAGTAGCGCTGAGAGCGCCAACTGCGAGCTAGGAGTTACCATTTACGCCGCGACGAAGGCAGCGAATGAAGCAATGACTCGCTGTTATGCCAATGCCTTCGGCGATAAGAACCCTGCGATCGAGTTCATGGCTGGAACCACTGCAAACAGCGTGCTCACGGGATTGACCGAGACAGGCGGGGTGCAACAGTACGGACTGAAGGTGTGGGAGGTGCTGCAAGACTTTTGAGTCAGCAAACAAACCATACCACGATCGGGAAGCCCCGACGACGTGGCCGACGTGGCGGGGTGCCTATGCGGCAGAGAGGATAGATGGATCACGGGAAGCAAGGTCAGCGCAAATGGGGGGAGTGTTGCCGTTATCTAGTCGGTTAATAAGAACCACTTTTTCTCATTTTGTGTTGTCGGTCGCATCTAATATTGCTCGGACCTGAGCTAAGGTTTCTTTGCAAATGGCCGCCTGGTCCTCCTGCTCGTCAATCTTGACCACATCAAGTTCATCCAGAGCGGGCTCTTCAAGACATTCTAGCTGGCTGTGTAGCATGTTCTCCTTCATGTAATGACCTACACGCCCCGCGATTCTTGCTTTCAGATGCTCCTGGTCGACCTTGAGATAGATGAAGTACACCTGTACACTCGGGGAGGCGTACGACACGACCCTAAAGACATCGCGATATCTGCGTCGCAACGACGAGCAAGTGACAACAATGGCCCTGAACTTTTGTAGCTTGTCCGTCGCTGCGGTACGGAGGGCAATGAGCCAGTCCCATCGGTCGTCATCAGTGAGTGGTATGCCACTACCCATCTTCACTTTGTTGCCCGCGGTATGGTACTATCTACGTATGTCAGTCGATGTCTTCGATGGGCCGAGCCAAGAGCACGGGGCCCAGCGTACGTCATCTCCCTCGAGATACGGAACTGCGAGCTCCTTGGAGAGGTAGGTCGCAACCGTGGTCTTCCCAGAGCCTGCTGGGCCACTGACTACGAAGATGGTCTTGAGACTAGAAGGCTGGGTCGTCATGATGGGCTTTAGTATGATTATACGGCTTCGTCATGGCATGAAGCGAAAACGGTAGGGTCGTGTCTATCGGCATGCTCAGAAACTCAATTCAAATTCAATTCAAGACATGCCCGACATTACAGAACTAATAATAATCCGCGTTGGCACTCACATACGACGCTGATGTGCAGGCTCCCCTGACGTAACCAACTTTTACATATTGTGTGCAGGCTCATCAAAACGCGTCGTATGGCCAAGAAGGAGCTAGAGCCTCCTAATCGTGTTACAGGACATAATGAGGTAGTCGGACCGGGCGTAGCCTTAGTGGGGTCGGACTTGTAATTTCGCCCGTCGAGGACAACCATATGATATGGATCGCGGGGTACAACTACACCGGACCGGACGTTTTTGGAGAGGCTACCAGAAGTCCCGGAAGACCGGGCTGGGAACTCCATCCAAGTACTCCGGACTCGGGTTCCCCCAGTGCATGTCTTTCTAGAAACCTCGACATCAAAAAGCAAAAGATCTTCAGCACTGGTCTCGTGGCTGGACAAGTCTCATCAGCCCACTCACTTTTCACACGTATGTTCAATTAATATGGCCACCCAGAATCGTCTCAAAGTTGCCTTGATTGGCTTAGGCCGTCTAGGTGCCATCCGGGCACGCATTCTCGCTTTCCAGCAACCTCGCATCGAGCTCGTCGCCGCTTGCGACACGAAGCCCGGCACCGACGAATGGGTGGCGGCCAACCTTCCACCGTCCGTGAAGTACTATGCGAATCCTGAGGATTGTATGAAGAACAGTGGTGCGCAGGCCGTGCTCATTTCCACTGCGACTGCCACCCATGCTCCCCTGATCTGTTTGGGTCTTGACCTGGATTTAGTGTGTCTTGCCCATAACTGGTGTTTTTCATGAATGTATGGCGCTTGAAAATTAACAGTTCCCTAGCACGTTATGTGTGAGAAGCCAATTTCCGTGGATGTCATCACCACCGCAGAGATCCTCGCCAAGGCGAAATCCAAACCTCATCTCAAATTCTTGATACCATTTTGTCGACGCTGTGAGTATGATGATATCCAAATGTACATGATGGTGTGGGCGTGAAGAGGCGGGGCTGATCTGTGTCTAGATGACGACTCGTACCGTGCTGCAAAAGAGATGGTAGAGAAGGGCTTGTTGGGAGAGATACATGCCGTTGAAACTACCTGCCTCGATCAGCAGGATCCTACTGGTGAGCATTTCCTCGAGACACGTATCGTTTACTTGGGTCGAAGCGGCTAATTACCTCCCAGGATTCTTCGTGACCTTCTCGGCGCAGTCTGGAGGTATCTTCGTCGACATGGGTGTTCACGACGTAGGTCATTCGTTCACTGTCCCTCATCTGGCGGGAAGGCTCTACTGACTGGTATAACACAAAGATTGACATTGGGCGATATTATCTGGATGTGAAGTCGGGCCTGACCAACCCCAAAAAGCAGGTTAACAGAGTAGTCGCCATGGGGCAGCAGGCTGTCTACGGCGATCTCGCCAAGTACGGAGACTGCGATAATGGCTGGGCTCTGGTCGAGTTTGCCAATGGCAAGGTTCTAACCTCTCACCTGGGTCGTACACTTACCAACGGCTTCGAGAGCTGCACCCGCGTGTGTGGCACCAAGGCCCATTCCGTTGTTAACGGAAACTCGACAATCAATCGTGTTGAAATTCGTGACGCTCACGGTGTACGGACGGCGACCACCCCTGATGCATTCGTTCTATACGATAAGTCGTTCCTGAACGACCTCGCCGAGTTCGCTAATGCTGTGCTCGACGACAAGCCCTTGACTTGCACTCCGGACGATGCCTATGAAGCGGCCAAGATTGCCACTGCTTTGCAGTACTCATTCCGGAAAGGTGTGCCTGTCTACTTTGATGACGAGGGCCTTCCTATCATGGAAGACTCTAAGTGAAGGTTCGGCTGAGCCGCTTACTTGGGATGACTGGTCAAAAAAAGTATTATTTTCTATTTGGACTTAATGCGCTTCTTTAGACTTCATGTATGTCTGTACCCCAGAATAAAAAGACAATTCAACGAGGAGAGAGGTTCTTTCCTCTCACGTGCATATCAAACCTTGAATTGTCCTCAAATTCGCGCTCAACTAATATTCGGGGTGTTACCCCAACATGTGGTGCCATTGGTCGTCAGGGGCTGGTAGGTTCGTTAGCCATCGGAACACCATGAAAAGAATGAAGACAGAGAAGTTGATCTACTAACGTTTTGTTCATCGTTAGGAGGTCTAAAAACATCCTGCAGGAGCATTGGATCCCACAAGCCGCGCAACTGAAAAAGAAGACATAAAACATCAGCTCAGTCGAATTCCAGGGTAGGTAGATGTTTGGCTCACAATGTCATTTGTCCAGTCAAAAGTTTCCGCAGGTAGTGATGCAGCCGGCATTGCCATGTCGAAAGATCCCAGCTGACCTTGGACGCGGTTTTCGTCCAGTGGCGGGTTCGCAATATCTGTAATTAGAGAATCGGTCGGGGTCTCAGCAAGGGGAATAGTCCTAATAGTCTTCTTACGGCCCTGGCCCGCCCGCTCAATGAGCCTGGTCCGCCAGCCAAGAAGCTCTACATCCTCATCTTCTTCTATATGCCCGTCTTCATCTCCGTTGTTGTTCGTCTGACTAGAATCGACGCCTTGGTGCAAGTCGCCCTGGTGTGTGGAAGGCGCTTCAGAGATCCTTAACAAGGCTCGAGCACGCAGCTTCAAGAGCCACTGCAAGTTACTTTTGTAGCGGGAAGTACGAGCTCCATGTTCCAGCAACGAGGTAAATAGGGTGATGGCAGCATCGATTTGTGCGATAGCAACGCCGGCCATCACATTGCCCGGGTCTCGCAAAACTAACGTCCCTAAGCAGAGGGCGGAATTGAACACATGATACTAGAACAGATGTTAGTTTAGTTGACGCCCGGCGAGCGAGAGGAGCATCCTCTACCCAGAAATTCCACTGTCTGGCGCTGACAGCGGGAAAACGAGAGTGAATATCGGTGACAATGGAAATGAGAAGCTTCTGAACGTCAGATCAATACTGGTGGATAATTACTCGAGCATGCTCTTACAGCACAACGTTCAATCACGGTGTAGAAAGAATGTCTGTAGATGGATTCACGGCGATTAACTTCATAGAGGGCTTTCGCATAATATGGTCTATGAAGGTTGATGATCGTCTCGGAGACGTTCAACGCAAGATTTGTTTGCTAATTGAGACTCCGTCAACCAGAGTTGTCGAGATTGGCAGGAAAGGTGACAGACCTGAAAAGAAATGGCCAGCGACCGGCGAGATGGTTCTGGAGATGCGTCGATCGCCGCCTCGAGTTGAGAGTAACGAGACGGGGTGGCTAAGAGTGCTGCTCGGCAGCGAAGAAAAAAAGGAATGTTGTGTTCAAACTCGCTGCTACAATACCATAGCTTAGCTACAATTGCAGGGATATCATGTGCGACACTTACAGCCTGACATCCAGAGCGATGACATCAGAGTACGCTGGCTTCCGCACCTTCATGGCCATGTTGAGAATCCTGAAGCTGGATCAGCTGCCACGTACTATCGGAAGGGGTCCAGAATACACGCTTACGCGGAAGAGAGCTGAGAAAGCTCAAACCGGAGGATGTAATAGCTCTTTTCATCGTTCGGCCTGGATGGCTCAGTAGGAAATGCCGTATCACAATGGTCGAGATTGATGGCTGATCTGTACAATGTGAGCTCTATTCCGAACGAAGATACATCTGGGGATGGATATACATACGGTCTTGAGAAACAATGTGCCTGAAAGATGTCAGCAGCATTGCACTCCCAGAATACCTTGCGTCTTTCCTCAGCAACATCTTGTGGCAGATTCCAGTGGTCACCGTCGCGATGCATGCCCATCTATGGATCTTATCAACCTTGTTGCGTACACTCAAGCCAAGGGTGACACTCACTGCTTGAATTAGACGCATGATAAGACCCCATAACGGCCAGGCTTTATCACCACGTCGATCCTTGTCCAGCTGTCTATCCACGTGTAAGCGAAAGCTCAAAGCTCCGGTTTTCACTTACGTACAAGTGTAGATGCGCCATCAGGTGCTGAGATATTAGTGGCTGGCCAGGAGCGAGTCATTCCTATGAACTCACCAGTGTTTGCAGTCCAGCGATCATGTTGTTTGATAGGAATTCCCCCTTGACTAAAGCCCGTTCCGAGAGATGTAGCCAATCGACGGCAGACGAATCATAATTGGGCATCTCGATGTTGAACATCGTTCCTTGGGCCATGACGATGAAGACGAGTGCAATCTCCTGAGGATTAATCGATGGAGTTAACAAACCCGATTCTGCACGCCTATAGACTCGGTCGAACGTCCTTTCAAACGAAGCTTTTGGAGCAACGTCATGGCTGAACCTTGTCAGTCGCTCTTCAGAATTCTTCGTCGACATCACTTACTGCCATGCACAATAGCGGTAGTACGATTCAACCAGGACCCACGCCTCTTCTCTTGGAGGGAGGCATGAGAGCAGTTCCTGAGTACTAATGCGAGCTGGCGTGGGACTCAGAGGAAAGCCGATGGGAGTGGTGTGGCAAGTCAAAAGACTCTGCTGAGCGGCAACTGAATGTCGCGTTGGCTCTGGGGACGGGGCACGGGTCATCAACGGCGTATCTGGCACATCTTGCGTTTCCGACTAGCACGAGTTAGTTTCTCTCTCAGTTTCTCCCGTGTTGCTCAATCATGATAGATAACTTGCCTCTTTCAACCATTCGCTTCCTGCGGTGGGACCCAGATACTTAGATCGACCTCTTTTACTAAGCATCAAGGTGCCGTAGGAGCCGCCCTGCTGAGCATCGTCGATGGATTGCTGGGCGGGATTGCCAGAGAAGCTAGCTCCACTAAGAGCGCTATTCAGAGGCTCAGCCATCCTGTCAGGAGGTGCTGAAATAGGGGTGCCTGGAGAAGGACCATGAGTGGCGTATCGCTCTAGTGTATGAGCGAGAAGGGTGAGAGAATTCGGCTCGTTATGGTTGCTATGATCTATGTGGTTGTCCTGCGCGGAGATGTGGCGAGGGGCGTCCGCAGGCTGTTGGGCTGGGTTGATCACCAGGACATCTTCAAGAGAGGGCGGCTGGTCAGGATATTCCCGCTGGAACGCCTGGTGCTTATGACGGCCTGGGCGAATGGAATGAGGGTTCAGGGCCATGTATGGAGGCAGAATACCCTGAACGAGTTCGGGTTGAGCTTGCCCTGCATCGTCGTCTTGATGCCCAAGGTGATCATCGGAATTTCGACTGTAGGATCAAGTTAGCAAAGTGTGTCTGTCTCTTTCTTAGGTGTTAGGATAGGACGAACCGCGATTGTTCTGTGTTGGTCGTGGCTGGAATACAATATTCACGCCGGTGTCGCCGGACACAGTTTGAACACGGAACTGCAACACATTTCCAGTCTTTGGTACATGTATTGGAGGGCACAATAGCTGTTGGGCCTTCATACCTTCGCGATCGCACTTCATCTTGAGTCTACGGCATTCTGGACGGGCAGGCATCATCAGCTCGCCGAGCGCCAATTACTTCCTTTGCTTGCCTCAATCTAACCGATCGCGCACCTACCTGCACAGCTGTAACACGGCCTTTGCTTCCGCTGCCTCCGGCGTCTCGGAGCCCCGTGGGCCTCGTCGTCTTGCGCCGCATCCTCCGCGTCGTTCCGGCCGCGTCGCATGATAGTGGTCCGATGGATGAGATCGATTTGTCCGGTCACGTCAATTACCAGTGTGCCGTTGAGCAGGGAGGGGCGGGCAAAACGAAGGACCGGAGATGTAGGCTGCTGAACAAGCTGATGACCGGTCCCCGCATCGGCTTTTATGTGTGGAGTAGCGTTTAGCGGGGGTGAGGCGGGGATTCCCCAGCAAAACCTACGGCAGGCGATAAGGCGAAC